CTCAGGCACCCCCGGTCTTTCTGTGACCCCGAGGGTCCTGAGACCACACTGTCCCGCGAGGGTTCCACCCCCCGCTTAGCACCTGGGGTGACGTCCCTCAGCCAGCTGGCTTCTAAAAGTTCCGATTTTGTGCTCCGCGGCTCTAGCACTTGCCAGAAGCGGCCGGCCGACAGAGGCCCCCTCCCCCGCCGTCTCTCCTCCCAAATATCGCCTCGGATTCACTTCTCTGCACGTCCTACCTTCCAGAAAGTGGTCGCTTTTCTGTTCAGAGAGTTGTTGCTACTCTCTTCTTCAATATCCTGTTGAGTTCGTAGGTGTTCAGAATGGTTTGATCCCTATTCAGCTGAATTCCTGAGACCAGACGAAATCCAGGTCTCCTACTCCTCTGCCATCTTCTACTTTCTCAATAATTTTTTCTTAGTATTCAAATTGTAATGACACCTGAACTCCAGCAGTTGAATATTTGCTTTTCCAAACTTAAATATTTGCTTGGAATCCATCCCCTTTGTCAGTACCCATTGATATGCTCTCATATAGTCTTGACAATTTTATATTAAGTGCACTCAGGTATTAAAAAATTTTAGATGAGTATGTCATTTTTTTAAAAACTAGTAACTATTCTTTAACAAATCTGAGAAAAGAGAATCATTCACACATATGCACACACACACACACCCCAATATTTCTTTCAACTCATAAACTCTTGGCAAAACACTCCTTTTAGACGCTAATGCTTTAAGGTATTAAGCACCACAATAAGTGCAATTTCCAGGCATAAAGCTGAACACAGTCTCAACTGTGTTAGTTTGGATTTCTTCTCCATTTTGATAACATCATGTGATGAGAAATCCATATCTGCAAGCAAACTTTCACAGAGACGAGCTCTGTGAACAAGATGATGTCAAACGTTTTTTTTAAAGATTTTTATTTATTCATTTAATTGACAGAGAGAGAAAGAGACAGCGAGAGAGGGAACACAAGCAGGGGGAGTGGGAGAGGGAGAAGCAGGCTTCTCGCCGAGCAGGAAGCCCGATGCGGGGCTCGATCCCACGACCCTGGGATCATGACCTGAGCCGAAGGCAGTCGCTTAACCAACTGAGCCACCCAGGCGCCCCAAGATGGTGTCAAACTTGAATCTCAGAGTTTCCAGTACAAGCAAAAAAACTTATTTACACTTCTGTTGTTGCAATACAAACACACTTGGTGCTTCCATAACATCACCCTTGTTTCAAAGCATTGTTTTACCATTTCGAATATTTCATCCCCTGTAGTTTTATTGTTATTGCTGTTTGTTCACCCGCTAGTTTGTGTGTCTGGTCTGATATCTCTTTGCAGAACAATGATGCTTTTCCAGATGGAGGCAGATCTGCCATGGAGCTAACGAAGCTGAGGGGGCCGGGAGGGGCTCTGGCCAAGTCTTCACCTGTTCTTGTAAAGTGCAGAAAGCAAGCTTTGAAATGTTCAGAGCTAGAGGCCAGTCTGACAGAAATCTCTTTCAGTTGTTGGAAATGAAAAACTGACCTAATGCTCAAAAACACCCCGATCAAGTGGCAGTTCTGTCCTATCAGAAATATACTAGATATTGCGTTCTCAACACATCACACAGTGTTTTTTCCTTTTCTGATGGAGAATTACACGAAATAGAATGTATTCAATTCCCGGCACTTGTAGTCCAGAAATCTGCAGAGGCACCAAACAGTAAGTGTGACTCTGTGCAGAGCTACAGGCTTTATGCATCTTCGCAATAAGAAAAATAACTTCCAGTCAGCCAAGCTGGAAGAAAGTTTAAATTATACTTCTATTGCCTCTAGAGAAAATTTTACAAAAGTGCCATGATATAGAAACATCATCAGAGCGCACGCCACCAACATTTGAAAGAAAAAAGGAATTCCAGTTTATCGGGGAGGGAATTAATAACAGTAATCGTTTTGGGCTTGATGGTTTTGCAGCAGTTGTTCCCATTTTTATTTCTTTATTTTTTAAAAAATTTTATTTATGTATTTGAGAGAGAGAGAATGAGAGACAGAGAGCACGAGAGGGAAGAGGGTCAGAGGGAGAAGCAGACTCCCCGCTGAGCAGGGAGCCCGATGTGGGACTCTATCCCGGGACTCCAGGATCATGACCTGAGCCGAAGGCAGTCGCCTAACCAACTGAGCCACCCAGGCACCCAGTTGTTCACATTTTTAAATTGCAAGTTGTAACAATTTCTTTTCTCATTCTGAAGGAATATTCACTTTCATTTCATAGTTTGTGTTCAAAACTTTGTATTTTTTTTTTCTTAAAGGGAGCCTTACCAAGCCTGTATCCTCCCCTGCTCTCTCTGCGCCTCTTCAGGCTTTCAAACAACTGTGAATAACTGAGAATGGCTACCAACATGGGTAGGGTCATCGTTCCACAACGAACCCTCTCTTGACTGGATAATCTTCTGAACTAACATTGTCTCTGCCGCAGACAGGCTGCCAATGCGCCTACAAATCATCAACTTCCAAAATGGCATTGTCTTCTAATTGTATCGCTATTTCCCTGCAGGCTAGCAAGATGAATGGTCTGCAGTTGTCTGAAGAGTCTTGGTGTCTGCTATTAATTAGGCAAATTTCAAACCAACTTCCCGAGCTCATTCTTGCATTGTTCATAGAGTTCTGCATTTTGTGCTTGCAGAAGCATGAAGAGTGACAGTCATTTTCTGTGCAAGATGCCTGATTTCTGGCAAGCAATTGGTGACATCATTTCATGGGATGACTTTTCCATAAAAAAAAAAAATTCATGCTGAGGAAGACAGTCATCAAGGCATGGAAATCCTAATTAGTGGCAAGGTTGTTTTTTGTTGTTGTTGTTGTTTTTTTAAGCTACTAAGTTGTCTTGTGAACCTGATGACTTTCCAGCTTTAGTCAAGAAATTGTCCCTGGGCATGGGAAAATAAATACCTATAAACATTAAACCAACTTAAATATAAAGCATTTACTTAAGGGGATTGTTAAACTTGATAACTTCAAAAATTCTATTTTTCAAAATTACATTTTAGGTTATCTGCATTTTTACAAATGTCTTAAAACAAATTACACTGAAAAATTTAAACAGTTAACCATGACGTAAATAAAATAGGAAGCAATGCAATAGTATTGAATTAATTCAGTAATTAAAATTCCTCAAATAATCTTTCAGTTGAATTAAAGTAAGTTGAGTCATTAAAATTATAAAAAACTTACAAATATAAATATTGTTTACTTTTAGAGATGGTCAAAAATATTTGGGAAAAGTTTCCCGATAGTGTAGTACAAGCCACTTTAATGAACTCAATTAAATTCTGTTCAGTTGTTTTCTTTTAGATATAAGCTTTTTTTCCAAAGACAAACAACAATCTATCATGAAACACTATGAAGGTGGCGCCTGGGTGGCTCAGTTGTTTAAGTGTCTGCCTTCGGCTCAGATCATGATCTTGGGGTCCTTGGATGGAATCCCACGTTGGGCTCTGTGCTCAGGGCAGAGCTTGCTTGTCCCTCTCCCTCTGCCCCTGCCCCCTTTGTGCTCTCGTGCACGCTCTCTCTCTCAAATAAATAAATACAATCTTTAAAAAAAAAAAGAGAAACACTATCAAGAATCATGCTTGAATATGTCAACCTCAACAGCCAAGATGGAGAAAACAAAGGAAACATTAAGAAAATGAATTAAACCAATTATGCTCAACTTAGGAAACTCTAACATCAGATAATGATCATAAAAACAGGAATCTAGCCAGGAGGAAAATTCTTAAAACCCTAAGAGAAAATTAAATAGAGAGAAAAAGCTAATTTTTTTTTATGGGCCAAAAGACGAAGACCTTCACAACTGATAAGGAAATCATCACTAAAGGAAAAGGTATACTGGCTGGGGTGACCCACGGGACGAACAGGAAGATTAGGTACTGGAGCAATCTGCTGTGGGGACACGCATAATGCTTTTGGTGGCAAATTTATTGTAACTAAAATCAGGAAGTATATAAATACTCATGCAAATGGCGTTGAAATACAATTTCAAATGTGATACATTTAATAGGGATTTTTTGTTTCTAACAAAACAGCTTTAAAATGTTCAGTGGGCATCAAAGGTCTGCAGTCCCCAGCATCCTGTAGCACACCTCTAGTTCCTGGGAGACAGGATGGATGCCTCAGTACACTGTGTGCACAGGGAAAATTTAAAACACAAGGGAAATGTTTCAAAACCTGGCAGATATCACTCCACCTACAGTAGGCTCTCCTCTCCCATCTCCCAACACCAACCTTGCTCTCAGCATCTGTGGATTCCTCAAATTAAGAGAACTCTACCCACAGGAAGGTGTAGCCTTTTCGGCTGATGGTTATTCACGGGGGTGCAGAGAGACCAGACAAGAGACTGTGGGGAGGAAACAGCCTCCTGGGGACTCTCCAATCCCCGGGTAGGCTTCTTCGAAATATGCCACAGTGCTTATCTGTAACTGGTATGAGCTTATCTGCTCAGGAGAAGATCAAGCAACCCCATTGCTCCTTTCAAGGGGCAAGAGATCAAAGGGAAAGGAAGAAGTTATCCACTGAGGTACACTCACACAAGTTGAAATCTTCCTGATTTCTCTCCACTGAAACCGCAAAGTTGCAATTCTGCTGTTGTTTTTCACTTCATATACTATGACGCCCTTGGCACAGATCCCCAAGGCCATCTCTCCTTCCCCCCTGGTCTTCTCTGGGAGAACTTGATGGACCAGCACACCATATTCCGGGAGCTGCCGGGTGACCTGGAGCAAGAAAAATGCCAATTTAGAAGGGACAGTCCCACTAATCTAAAATAATTGGCTTCAAACCAGTTCATGAGAAGAATTTTAACAGATGTTCTGAAAACAAAAAGAGTAGGACTGACAAATAAGTTTAGGAAAACACTGAGCTAAACCCCGATCTCCTTGTTATAGGATTTCTCCTCATCTCTAAAATGGTAGCACTTCCTATTTTATTAACCCTGGGGTTCCTTTTCCATGGAGTACCTAAAACAACACGTGGAAAGCAGATACTGTGAAAATGGTACAAGAGAGTAAGAATATTCTGAACGAGTTTTTAGAATTCAGACTCTTCTGGGTCACCTCAAGGTAAGGGATTCCTTTTCCCAATTCCATCTATCAAGGTCTATTGCAATATTATCTGCTACAACCCCCTCGTTTTACAAATGAAAAAACTGAGGCCCGGGTATAGAAAGCAATCTTCCAGATGGTCAGCATCACTGTGAAAGCAAGATAAGCCATGAACATCCATCCTGCAGGGCAAATAAGCAACCACTGGCCTCTTGTCACCATGTCACAGTGCATTGGTGGGGTCCCTACAGCCCAAGGTCGGTCCTCAGTTTACCAGGTCAGAAGACTGAATTTTGTCAGAGCCCTGAGGGTCAATCAGGGATGGGGACTGCATCAGGCCCATTAAATTCTTAAGAGATTGGAGTATAAACCAGATGCAAATGTTTTTATGTCTGAATGGTAATCACATCTCTGTCCTGGTGTCTACCATCTGCATCTTCACCTGCAAGATTCCAGGCCTCATCAGAAAGCTGATGCACCTGGACTCACAGCAGCGACTTCTTGCTCCAGAAAATGGAAACCCTCTTGGAAGGGTTCCGTTGGTGAGATCTGTAACCCATCCCTACCCATCAACACAGAGCACTCTGTCCAGGCCAATTTCTCCCACCCCCAGACAGGGTATAACAATAGGGACAAATTAGGACTTCTGAGAGCTCCTTTCTCAGGATCCTTGCTGTACTTTTTTTCTTCTGTTAATAATCTCTGCAGACAGGTTATGCTGCCTGCAGAGCCTACAGCTCTTCACATGATGTCGATTAAGTTTCTGGGCCTTGAGCCTGCTTGTTTTAACTCTGGAAACACTGTTCATCACCATCCTTGTCATCAGCAGTAGCATCTAAAATACTATTTATTGAGCACTCAGTGCTGAAATATCCAATGGCCAGACTAGGCGTGTGCTTAAGGTATTAATTAGGGCCATCCCAAAACAATAAGGTAAATTCTTTTAAATAATTGGATGTGATATTTCAAAAAAAAAATTAAAGCCTTAAAATAGTCTTTGCTGGACTAAAGATGCCTTTGCTAGATTTGCCTACATGTTTTAACTGTTTAGTATTTAATTTTAGTTTTTATTTTATTTTTTAAGTATATAAAGAAGCATGTGATCCTGACGTACCTTGGAGTGACAAAATTTTTAAATGGCAAAGCGTCAGAACGCCTGGGGGGTTCAGTTGGTTAAGTGCCTGACTCTTGATTTCTGCTCAGGTTATGATATCAGGGTCATGAGATCGAGCCCCACATCGAGCTCTGCACTGCTTAAGAGTCTCTGCCCACACCCCCACCTCTCTTCAAAAAAAAATAAAATGGCAAAACACCATTGTAAACATTTCCCATGCATCATGCTGTTTAATCTTCACAGCCGTCACAACAGAGAGGTGTAGCTATCTCTTTTCAAATGAGAAAGCAGAGGTACACTTAGGAGCCAGAAACAGAAGTATAAGTCTGTCTGTTTCTTTTTTTTTTTTCCTTAAAGATTTCATTTATTTATTTGACAGAGAGATAGAGCCAGAGAGCACAAGTGGAGAGAATGGCAGAGGGAGAGGGAGAAGCAGGCTGCCCACTTGAACAGGGAGCCTGATGCAGGGCTCGATCCCAGGACCCTGGGATCATGACCTGAGCTGAAGGCAAACGCTTAACCATCTGAGCCACCCAGGTGCCCCAAGTCTGTCTGTTTCTGAGTCCTCACTCTTAGCAACTAAAATACAGAGTTCCCATAACATTTGGAAACATGGGTGAATATACATAAGATCCTCAGGGGCATTTTTAATCTGTAAAAAAATAAATAATATTATCTCTCTCTCCGTGCTCTACTAGGGAATCTTCTGGAACACCTCTCCTGGTCATTCTGTGTTGCGGTTGCTAATTGTCCTCTGAGAGAGTCACCTTATCTCCATGTGCTTAGGGGCATCTCACTATTTTCTCCTTCTCCCTCCAGCGGGAGCCGGGTTTAGACTGGACCCGGGCTTTCCTGGCTCCCAGCCTATGCAGCATCCTTGCTGTATTGAAAACTATTGGAACAGAGGCTCCTGGGTGGCTCAGTCGTTCAGCGTCTGCCTTCGGCTCAGGTCATGATCCCAGGGTCCTGGGATCGAGCCCCGCATCGGGCTCCCTGCTCGGCGGGAGGCCTGCTTCTCCCTCTTCCACTCCCCCTGCTTGTGTTCCCTCTCTCGCTGTGTCTCTCTCTGTCAAATAAATAAATAAAATCTTTAAAAAAAAAAAAAGAAAGAAAACTGTTGGAACAAATGGGACTGTTTCATCAAGAGAGTCATAACAACTCAAATCCTTTGACCCTATTAATTCCATTCCTGGGACTCTGTCCTAAGAAAATGCACTGAATAATCCAGACAAACCCTTCTCATAGTGACCTAGGGTGCAGACTAGCAGGCTTGGGGTGGGGGACAAGCTCCCAGAGATAAATATTTCCTAAAGTACTGCCTTAAAAGCGATCATTACGTAGCCTGTAGAAAGGATATTTACAAAGCATTTGTAACTATCTGGGGCGTGCATATTTTATATGCTAAGTGGGGTAAGACACAGGATATAACCAGTATGATTTCAACAGCTGAAAAAAAATTAAAAAGAAAATGTTTTAATAGTATATAGAAACCCCTCGTTTATGTGGGGAAAAAATGGTTCCCTGGTTGAAGAAGTTTGGAAAACATTGAGTTAACCTCGAACAGGTTGTTCTGGGATTAATATGCTAATGTAGTTGTGAATCTTCCAGAGTATGTTATTCAGCGTTACCCACACTGGATTTCCGCCAAATCTTCTTCCAGTGTGAGATGATGAACTAGCAGAATTAGTCGTCAGTGAACCAGAGGCCAAGAGGCACCATCTGATAATGGAAGAGAGGAGCCCCGAGGAGCTGTAATTAAATAATCCAGTGGCTGTTTATGGAGTGACTGAGCTCTGAGGATTCAGGGCCCTGACTGACATCTACAACCTAGTAGCGAGGACAAGAAATGTACAGAAAAGACTGCAATGTAGAATGTCTTAGCAATATATATCAACAATGTTTCAAATGTTCATAACCTGAGACCCTCTAATTCCACTCATGAGATTCTATCCCCAAGGAATTAAGCACAAACTCAGCTAAAGACTTATGTAGCAAAAGTGGTAATCTCGGTATTGTTTAAAATAGTCCCATATTTAAAATAACATATGTGCCAAACAACAGAGTATTGAGAAAAAATTTAGGGTACACCATGTGTTGGTTTAAAATAGTTTCAAAATGTTGGTGAGGTGGGATTATAAAAATACACAAATCTGCATGTATAATATAAACCCAATTTTAAATGTGTATACACATGAAAATGCACAGAACAGAAAGAGAAGAATGAATACAACAAAATATAATTGTGCTGTCTCCAGAGGGGCGGAATCATGAGCAAATTGTTACTTTTATAATTATGGGGGGAAAGATTTGGCTTAACTAACACTCACTCAAACGAGGAGGGTCCCGATGGGCTATGGGGGTCACAAAGCCCCCTGGGGTCTCACACAGCAGGGACAGTACACAGCCCTCGCATGCCCAACCAGCCAGCATGGGGACCTAAAACCCAGCGATCCTTGAAACTGATAATATGGCATGCAAACGAAGTCAAATCCATTCGCCGTTTTCCATCAACGACTGAAATAAAGTCTTCCTGTATTTCTGCTTAGGAGATGGTGGCTTCCTTCATAATCAATTTTCATCATTCAACCAGGAGAGGGAGGGACACAGAGAGCAGGACAAACGAAGCTAGAGACTGGGGAGGGGTGAGCAGGTGGGCATTCTTGGTCCTACAGAGGCCTCTGCAGGCCCAAGTCCTCGGCCTGCCCACTGGTTCTGTGGTTCTGCCTCCACCCTCCATCGGATGCCTGCTGATGGCTTTGAGGTGCCCACTTGTCCCTCATCAAAGGAAGGCTGCTTCCTCTTGACAACGAACATGCCCGAAGGCTGGATGATAAAAAGCAGTGAGGAGTACCTTTCCACCAGGGCTTCTCACATGAAGTGCTTATAGGTCGACATGTGTGAGGTCTTGCAGACAGTCTGCTCAGTGACAGACCAAAAAGAAAAGGCCAGATCTCGTCTGGGCAGTTCTGCTTTCAAACGCCCATCTCTATTAAAGGCAAACAACATGGACACTCTTCCTATCCATCTTGGGAGACTTTTGTACAGAGAAATGTACAAATCCGGAGCTTCTTTTGAAACTCCTCCTTAGCTCTAAAGGCCAGCCAGGTATCCTGCCCTGGGGAAGCCAAGCTGGGGGGGTGGGTGGTAGTGGGAGGGGGGGTCCTCCCACATGTCCCCCCAGCTCCATCTATGCAGGCAGAGTAGCCACTCCCTGACTTATCATTATCATTTCTCATCACACAGCACCCTGTGCCTGCTCCTGGGTACCTGCCTGTCCTCCCCATGAGACTCGGGATTCTCTGGCGGAAAGGAGCATATCCTTTCTGTCTCCATTCCACATGGCGCCTGGCCCAGAGCAGGTAAGTCGTGGAGTGTGCAAAGGTTCTTCATCCTAGGCTCCATGTGTACCCACAGATATGGGGGGCTCAAATGCCACTGCTTTTGCTTGAGGGCTGAAGAGAGTGCAGACCAGAGCAGTACCCATATGCATGGACCACACCATCTGTACTGTGCTGAGGACAGTTGCCTGGAAGGCTGGAAACTTGAAGTCTTCCAAATGGCTTTGCTTTGGGCTTATACCCCAATTCTGCACTTCAGTTGCCCCATGTGTCTCTGTGAGAGATGTGGTCTCCTCATTCAGAGAAAAGTAACGGTGAGCTCTATGGTTAAAGAAGGGCCCTGCCCTATCTGCCTAGCCCAGTAAATCCTACCCATTTGGGGGGATCATTCCCAATGCCACCTGCCTCCAGAAGCCTCTCCTTGCCCTGCAGGATGTTAGAGCATCCTCCCTCCCAAAGTCTCACGTCCCTTGCTCATACCTCCATGTGGGTCTGAGCACATCCGGCCCCCCAGAGAAAGCTCCACAGGGAAGGGCTGGTGGCATGCCCTTGAACACCAGCACCCCCTCCAGAGGTTCAGAGGCCTCACCCTCAAGAACTCCAGCTCGGCATCCTCTCTCCAGAGCACAGGACTGAGACGGTGCATCTCTGAGACTTCAGCGTGGACCCGGAGAGCAGTCTTCCTCTCAATCAGTCTTGCTGGGACATAGTCTTCAGCCCGAAAATAGGCTTTACTCTCTGTCTGCTGGAAAGATGCAGAAGAAAAGCAGCATAACAAGATGCCTTCTATGGGACGCTGAGCACAATAGAAACCTGTCTGCGATCCAAACCCCAGGTAGGTCCTCAAGCCAAGGATGCCCCCTGAAATGCCCACCTAGGGTAGCATTTTCTACTGTATTAGAGGTTGGCCTAACCCATGTGACATGAATAGAAGGGAGAGAAGAAAGGGGCCACCTGTCTTTGAGACCCTTCTGTATGCCAGGTGGTCCTCAGAACACGTTACCTCCTTCGATCCCACAGTAATCCCATGAGGATGATATTATTAGTGCCATTGGCAAGATGAACAAAATGAACAAGGAAGGAAGTCATTCAACAGGGCCAAGATCACACCACTTAGTGACAGAAACAAGATTCCGTCACCCAAAGTCCTCACCCATTCCATGATGCCACATCACTTCCCAAAAGGCACAGCAAAACCCTGGCCCTAAAACTTTGTTTCTTTTATTCATTTAGCATTTATGTGTTGAAGTCTCAGAGATGCACCATCTCAGTCCTGTGCCATGGACTAAGAATCCTCAGCTGAGAGCTAGCCCACACCAGTTCTGGGCTCAGCTCAGATGAACAAACGGAAAGAAACTGACCACCAATCTGCTGCCTAAAAAAGACTTTGGAATGCTATCGACGTGGGCCAGATCTGGAACACTGACAACAGCAAGTGCTAGCATGGATGCAGAGCCATGGGAACTCTCCTCTGCAGCCAGTGGGAATGCAAACTGGAAGACAATGTGTCTTCCAAACCTAGTCTTACCGTATGACCCAGCAATCATGCTTCTTGGTATTTACCCAAAGGAGTTGAAAACTTATGTCCACACAGAAGCCTGCACGTGGATGTTTATAGCAACTTTACTCATAATTGCCAAAACTTGGAAGCAAAAGATGTCCTTCAGTAGGTGAATGGATAAAGAAACTGTAGTGCATCCTGACAACAGAATATTAATCAGCACTAAAAGAAAATGAGCTACCAAGCCATGAAAAGACAAACGACATGGGGGAAACTTAAGTGCATATTAAGTGAAAGAAGTCAATCCGAAAAGACCATGTACTGTATGATTCCAACCATATGACAGTCTAGAAAAGGCAAAACTAGGGAGAAGGTAAAAAGATCAGTAATTGCCAGGGGATGGTTGGGGGCGTGGAGAAGGAGGGACACATATATGGAGCATATAGGATTTTTAGGGCAGTGAAACTACTGTATGAAACTCCACTAATGAATATATGTCATTATAAATTTGTCCAAATCCGTAGAATGTACAACACCAAAAGGGAACATGAATGTAAATGATGGATTCTGGGGAACAGTGATGTGTCAATGTAGGCTCATCGGCATGTACCATTTTGGTGGCGGGTGTAGATAATGGAGCAGGCTGTGCATGTGTGGGGGCAAAGGAGTACATGAGATATTTCCACATCTTCCACTCAATTTCACTGCAAACCTAAAAGTACTGAGGATCTTTGACCCAGCTAGGACTATGTCCAAGAGAAGAAGTCAATATGGAACTAAAAAAAAAGCCCTAATGCAACCATTGATTTCTATGTCACATAAAAAAGGAAGATCAGAAGCAATGGGAACAATAATCACAGAATGACCCCTTACATGGTACTTCCAGGTGCTGCCCAACGGTGAGAGGACAGAAAGGTGAACAAAGGTCCATCCCAGGGAGGTGTACCGCATAACCATCCCAAGAGTCATTAGGCCACTAGGAAGGCCACGGGAAGACATCTGCCATCAAGTGGGAAAGCTGAATGCAACTCAGACTTGGCACTGTTTGCACCTGTATGAGGTCCCCACAGGTTATCAAAGGCTGGAAGGGAATGCCCCCCAAGGAAAGCTGTTGAGCCACAATGATGTGATTAAGGAGATTTATTTAATTTTTTTAAGATTTTTATTTATTTATTTGTCAGATGGAGAGCACAAACAGGGGGAGCGACAGGCAGAGGGAGAGGGAGAAGCAGGCTCTCTGCCGAGCAGGGAGCCCGATGTGGGGCTCGATCCCAGGACCCCAGGATCATGACCCGAGCCGAAGGCAGACGCTCAGCCGACTGAGCCACCCAGGCACCCCTAACGAGATTTATTTTTATACCAAAATGTCTCTGTCTGCCTTTTTAAAATGCAAATGTAATCATGTCACTTCCCTGTTTAGAATTCTTCAGGGACTCCCAGGCTTTCTTTGCAGTGGTTTCCAAATTAATTTTTCCACCAGCACCAGAACTGTGTATCAAACAAAATATAAGTCCCTTCAGAGAGCACAGGAGGTTCGCCCAGGATCTGGCTGGCGGTGCCGCCGAGTGTCCTGGCCGCGTCACCTAGGGCTGCAGTGACATAGCGGGAGCCCTCCCCGCCTGCCTCCTCAATGACACAGACACAAGGACAGTCTGAGTCCCCGACACCCTCTGATGTGCCCACCCCAGTGCCTGGCACACAGCAAAGCAAGGCCCCGGAAGTGAGTCCTGGCTGGGCTCTCACTAGCTTCGCCAGCCTCACATGGGTGCAATCTTTCTCAACCACGGGTGGAAATAACATGGGCTTTGCAGGATTGACAGAGGGCTTAGATGACACCGAGCATGAGGACCAAGAGAGTGGGGCCCAAATGAGCGGGTTTGTGTCATCTGTTGACTTTACACATACAAGGGAAAAGGAAAAGGTCTGCCTTTGGGGGCCACATGCGGACAGCAGAGAGTGTCTTGGAACTGCTCTGGTCCACATCAGTAAGAGAGGTCAAGGCTCCACAGGATCTGGGGAAGGAGCTGGAGGTGGAAGATGGCTGATCAATAAGTACACAGACCCATATAGCATGCCAGGCGGTGGTAAATGCTATGAAGAAACACGCAGCAGAGTGAGGGCATAAAGAGGGCCTTAGAAGACTCTGGACGTGGCACGACCTTCTGAAGATGTACTGGGAGGAAAGCCAAATGGTTCTAGTACAGTCTAAAAAGGGTTTTCAAACTGTAGCTTGTAACACACTAGTGAGCTACTGATTAATGGTTCATAACCAGCATTTATAAATTGAACCACAATGGAATAGGAAATCCCAATGTGTAGCACATATAGAAAGGGTGCATCTTATTTCCTAAACTTTTGCTTCAATTCTGTTCTATGTACATGTGTGGGGGTTGGGTTATATTGGTTATTATCTTTTTTTTTTTTTATCATGGGTCATGGCACAGAACATTTGAAAGCCACTGTTCTCAAGAACCATTTTAACATTTGAGCTTGTCCTTGCTCTGAAACCCAGTTACTGAGGCAAAGCACGCAAGCTGTGACAAAGGTCACACACCCCTGCCCTCTCCACCCCACACTGCGTGAGAACTAAGACCACAGATCTCTGCACAGCGTCCCCACTCCGTGGTGGCTGTAGCTTCTCCTTCTCAGACTCCAGGTGTATTCATTTGCAGGGTCGCCATAACAAATACCACAGGCTGGGTGTCTTAAATGACAGAAATTCATTCTCTCACAGTTCCAGAAGCTAGAAATCCAAGATCCAGGTGGCGGCAGGGTTGGTTTCTTCTGAAGCCTCTCCCCTTGGCTTGCAGATGGCTGTCTTCTTCCTGTGTTTCCACACGGTCTCTCCCCTGTGCTCCCGCATCGTGATGTCTCTTTGTGTGTCCTAATCTCTTCTTACAAGGACTCCAGTCAGATTGGAGTAAGACCCAAGCAGAAAGCCTCATTTTGACATAACCACCTCTTTAAAGACCCCATCTCCAAATACAGTCACGTTCTGAGTACTAGGAGCTAGAGCTTCAATTTTGAAGGAACATACTTCAGCCCATAACACGAGGCCAGACCCACATGACTCCAGCAGACTCAGAACTTCAGCCAAACACAGCTCCTTTGTTCACCAAGGGTGTAAGCATGGCTGACCACTAAGTGCTCACTGGTGGTAGACATATATTTTTAGCCATGTGCAACCATTCCCTCTCTTTCTGGAAATGGAAGCCATTGCTCCTCCCTCTCAGTCCATGCCTTTGCATAATGTGAACTCTACCCGGATTCTCAGGGTGGCACATAACTCAAGTATAACTAATCAGAGCATGGCGTCTCCCACCACAGTGATTGGCTTGAGTAGACACATGGCCCTATCAGAACCAATGAGACAGAACTGCAGGATTTCCATGGTATTACTGAGAGCGGGAGAGAGAGAAAGAGAGGTCGAAAGAGAGGGAGAGAGAGGAAGTTCCTCTCTTTAGTCCAAGGAGGGTAGAATCCAGAAGCCACTGAACGCAAGCATGTGGAGGGAGCACAGCCCAGAGTTGCGGGAAGCCCAAGGCCTGCTGATGTCCTTTGAGTCCCCACACCCAGCAAGCCCTAGGTATGGTTAGGACCCCAGCCCTGGAGGCTAAAAAGAGAGAGGAAGAAGCTACCAGGTAAACAGTAAAAGATTAGAAGCCTGTCAGGGTAGGGAGGACCTGGACACTTCAGTCTTGCAAGACCATAAATTACACGTTGTATTCAAGCCTATCTGAGCTTGATTTTCTGCCACTTGTTATCAAGATAGCACTGAATCATCACTTCTCCTGGCCAAGAGGTGTGGGGGTGTCAAAAAGCACCCGAGGGTGGAGGGGGGCATTCCTTCTACTTGTAGAGAGGCCAGGAAAGTTGTGGGGTTGGGGTTGGCCTTGGAGGTTGGATAAGGTGGGGATGGCTGTGCAGATGCTGCTGGGAAAGCATGCAAAGGCCCAGGGGCATAGGGATTAAACCTTGTACTTTTTTCCTTTTGAGCAACGGATTCCTCCTCACAGTCCTCAGGTCCTCTCTTGAGTATATCTTCTCCAAGTTAGGCACTTCCTAGAGGCACCCAGCTTTTGTCACATGACAATGGCAATATCCACCAAGATAAAGCCCAGTGGGCTGGTAGGGAGCCCACATTCTTTGCTTTTCCCTCTCCATTTTTACTGAGGCAGACTCCACGTTTGGACGGCATGTCACACTGTTGGGTCACATAACTCAGTCTCAGTGGAGGTCTATTGCCAAGCCTCTTTGCCCTCATGTGGGACATGTGGGGGGGCTTTGGGAACCCAGAGCAAAGTTGCCCTGTTCTCTGTCACAGCTTACCTGGCTGGTCCCTCTTTCCTGCCTGGTCCATCCCCCCCATTTTGAATCTTAAATAAGTAAGTGAATATATTAAGATCATCCCTCCCAATTTTGATGTATCTGCAAATTAAATAACCAGTAGCCTCCACTAAGTCCCTGGGGACTCTAACACAGGACCATCACAGGCAAATTCAATCAAAGAAACGTATACGCAATTCTGCTGCAGGGACAAAGCTTTGGCCAAAAAGATTAGAGACTTTGAGAGGCAGTGTGTCCAGCAGAATCGACATTGGCCTTAGAGTCAGACACACCTAGGCTCAAATTTAGACTTTACCATTTTCTAGCCACATGAGTCTCAGATTGTTCTTCCACAACATGTGAGTAATAGCAATGCTGCTGTGAGTATTGAGTGAGTTAACAACTGTGGAAAATGTCTAGGTCAATGGTAAGTATGGAGTGATTTCTTAATAAAGGTTGTCCGTTGTTAACAATGATGATGATGGGAACTCAATAAATTAGTAAATTATTGTTTTTAGGAGAACCCTTAGATTAGAACTACATTACAATGTATACACTTGACTTGTTCATCTTTGTATCCCCCAGAGCCTAGCAAAGAACACTCAATGAAAGCTTGTTGGATGGATGGATGGATGGATGGATGGATGGATGGATGGATGGATGGTTGGTTGGATGGATGGGTGGATGGATGGATGGACAGGTGGATGGGTGGATGGACATATAAGTGGATGGGTGGATGAATGGGTGCATGGGTGGATGGATGGATGAATGGATGGATGGGTGGGTGGATGGATGGATGGATGGATGGTTGGATGGATGGGTAGATGGCTGGCTGGCTGGCTGGATGGATGGATGGATGGATGGATGAATGGATGGACAGGTGGATGGGTGGATGGACATATAGATGGATGGGTGGATGAATGAGTGGATGGGTGGGTGGATGGGTAGATGAATGGATGGATGGATGGATGGATGGATGGATGGATGGATAAATGGATGGACGGATGGATGGATGGGTGGGTGGATGGATGAATGGGTACCATTTACCTCAGATAACTAGATACTGAAAACACTTCTCAAAGTCTCAGTCTCCATATTTCTAATAGTTCCCCCTTTTCCCATAACTGCTTCTCCAATGACCCCACCACAGGCCCCAGGTTTCCAACCCTACCTCCTCAGGGTAATTGCCAAACTCAGCCTGCAAGGCAAGGACTGCCAGTTGCTGCAGTGTCTCATCATTGCAGCAGAGCTTCTCCTCCAGGATGTCTTTCCGAAGCTGCAGATAGAATTGATGCCTTGTCTGGCTGTGCCTGGGAAAGAGATGAGAAATAAGGGTCACTGGAATGCTGAGCAGGAAAGAGAACACTATGTTGAGGGGGAAAGAGAACACTAAAACCAGAGGGTTTTCTCAGTCTGGGAAGCAGGGAAAGGACAAAAGGTGGGGTACAAGCCAACAGAACCCAGAGGGCCATGTTAGTGAGACGAGTGTGGTCTCCTTTATCCACATCATGCCTCCAGCCACAAGTTGAGGGCTACTCTGTGCCAGGCACTTGACACAACGCCCACAGAGATGTTTGTTGCTGTGGCTCAAGTGAGAAAACTGATACTCAGATGATGTTTTTAGTAAGCAAAGGAATAAAGAGGCAATGACCCAACTCCACAGTCATATATTACCCTTTCCTTCAACCCTGATCACTGGGCTGTTGAGGGAGGGTCATGTTGGGGACAAGGGAGAACTTTGACTTTGAATGGGCCATGTTTGAAACAAAAGGGCAAGTTCTCATTTTGACCAGGGCCCAAACACTGACTTCTCCCTTTTCTGTCATATTGGAAACTAATCAACAAGATCAACCACAATCACTGTTGTTATTTATACGTAGTTTAATAAAACTCGCCAAGCACTTGCTACCTATTATCTCTAAATCTGACATCACCCAGCAGATACACAGGTCCATAAGGAACAAATGAAGAATATTGGAGCACTCACTGGAGTTGCGCACAGCAGTTGACAAAGAACTTTATCCTCAGAAAGAGTGTGAAGGTATTCGAGGAGGTCTTCTTCTGGGGCTGCTCACTCCAGCCTTCAGGGGCTATTTTGCACAACCTGGTTTCGTGGTCCAAGAAAAAGAACTCTTTCCCTGAAATAAAAGTAGAGAGGGAAAAGCAGTCAGGCAGGCACCACTCCTACAGATCCACAACCCTGAGCTCTGCCCAGAAGGGTCAGACAGGAGACATCTGAGGGCAGGAGAGAGCAGGAAGCAAGTTCTCTGCACCTTTGCTGGGTCCGTGAGGGGCAGGAGTCGGAGACAAAGAGGAGAGTCAAGGAAAAGGAACTCAGCACCCACAGGAGAAATGTGATTATTTATCTCAGAGAAGATACCACTTAACAGCTGCCTTCCAGCTACCCCCGGATGCAGATAAAGTGAAAAACAAAGGAATGAGTATTCATTCCATTCCTGCCGTGGGCCAGGCCCTCTGTCTCAACTGGACCAAGCCCAAGCTCCCCCAAGCCATGGGCATGATATGGACTGAATGTTTGTATCTCCCCAAAATTCTTACCCCCAGGGGTAAGATGGAACCTCCGGAAGGTAATTAGGTTTATTGTGGGGCCCCCGTGAGAGGATTAGTGTAGTAAGAGGAAGAGACCAGGACTCACTCTCTCTCCAAATAAGGACACCATGAGAAAGTAGTCAGAACCTCAAACTTGACCGTGCTCCAACCCTGAGCTTGGACTTCCCAGCCTCCAGAACTGTGAGATAGAAAGATGTGTTGTTCAAGCCTCCTAGTCTGCGGTATTGTGTTTTAGCAGCCCCAGCAAACTAAAAGGGGGCAAGAGTGGAGTCACCTTTGCCTTCCGACCTGAATGTGGCCAGCTTGGAAACTCCAATCCAAGCTCAGGACTTCAGCTCTGAGCTGGTCTGTCCTCCAGCACCTCTGCAAGGGAGGTTGAATCAGCCCCAGCCACTGCATACCCTGCATCTGCCCCTCTGCTCTCTTCGAGGTGAAGACTGACCCCCCCTCCCCACTCCCTCTGGGACCCCTGTAGGTCTGCCCCAGCCCTACCCTGCCCCACACCTTTCTCCATGCTTCACTCTCAGCCCAGAGGCACATGACTGCAGGTTGCCTGGGCGCAGAAGTTGTGCCAAGTTTTAGAAAGAGAACCCGTTAAGTGGATAACCAACCTTTACTCTCAAAAGCCCTGCATGCTGGGGAAAGGGAGGAAGGTGTCCAGAGAAGTTCAAATAGCATTCACCATGCAGCGCCCAGACCTCTGTCTCCTCTGCCCTCAGCCCTTGGTGCTGAATCTGACTCCCCACACCAACTCAGCCTTCCCTTAGGGCTACTTCTCTCCAAGCCATAGGCAGGTCTCCATTACAGTTTGGCTAGCAAACCCTCCCAAGGGGGTTTATTTCCAAACTCCAGACTGGTGACTTTTGAATGATTTACCCAGGACACGCCAGTTAAGCAGCCCTAGAATGTCCACAGGAAGGGTCCGGGACAGGCGCCGGACTGGGAGGTAGCAATCCAGGATAAGTGCAAGGTTGGGCTCAGAGCAAGCACACTGGGTTTCTGTCAGTTGCATGTTACTGATCAATAAAAATACAATGTTTCCTAAAGATTCTTCTATTTACACTCTACAAAAGATCAAGCAAAGTTCAGTCCATCACATCAAAGCATATAGCAGTTGTTCAATTTTATTTAGGAGAGGGCTCTTTCGGAGGTCTGTGGAGAGCTATGGGGAGAGGACCCCCCCCCATGGCACACTGAATAACCCCCCACAACAAACTTCGGAGTTCCTCCCATCGGGGATGGGAGAATAGAAGAACACCGAGATGATGACTCCTAAGCAAGATGGGCTGGCAGAGCCAGAGTTGAACCTGAAAGCCCAAATGATCCCAACCCCACCTCCTTCCCATTATCCCTCACAGTGGTTAAAGAGCTTCAATAACAGCAAAGGTATATTTGCGTAGATTGAACTAGGAGCCCCATAATGGAAGGACAGAGATGGGGAGTAGGGTCTCCTTTAGGATCTTCATAACGGATTCCTAACTTGGGCTCCTGCTGATTTCCCATCAGTCCTGTATGATCGGGTGGAATTTTTTTTTAAATTTTTCATTGTGGTCAAATACACATAATAACAAATTTACCATCTTAGCCATAGTCAAATGTGCAGCTCAGTACTGTTAAGTATATGCACACTGTTGCGCAGCCCTCACCACCATCCAGCTCCAGCATTCTTCATCAGGTGGAACTGCAACTCTAAACCCATCAAACCATACCTCCCAGTCCCCCTCCACTCAGCCCCTGGCAACCACCATTCAACTTTTTGTCTCTAGGATTTTGACTATTCTAGGTACTCACACAGGTGGAGTCACACAATATTTGTCTTTTTGCAACTGTTTTATTTCACTTGGCACGACATCCTCCAGGTTCATCCATATTGTAGCATATGTCAGAATTTCCATCCTTTTCAAGGTGGGATAACATTCCATTATATGTATAGACCACATTTTGCTTACACATTCATCTGTCAATGGACACATGGGTTGCTTCCACATTTTAGCTACTGTGAACAATGTTCCTACAAACATGGGTATAAAAATCTCTCTTGAAGACCCTGCTTTCAATTACTTGGGGCACGTGCCCAAAAGTGGAATTGCCGAATCACGTGGTAAATCTATTCTGAATTTTTTGAGGAACCACCATACTGTTTCCCACAGTGGCTGTGCCATTTCATATTTCCACCTACGTGGAAATGCTTTCAACATTCACTTATCCAACATCAATGCTTTGAGACTGATCAACCAGACCCAGCACCTCACAGAAACCCACATTGTCTTTCACGCACTATTTCATTATAATCTTCTGCACTTCTTGACACTGTGCAGTGAGCCCTTGAAGCCTGCCCCGTGCTAACAGATGTCTAGACGTGCAAGGTGAAGCGTCCTAGCCTCAAGAAATTTTTTTCAAAGGAATAGTACTCAGGTCCCCAGATATCTGGGTTATGTGAGGCGCCAGGTCAGCTGTGGGCTGCCCAGGAGCCACTTACCTTTCATGTGAGCCAAGCCAAAGTAGGTGAGCTCCCCAAGGTTGACAAAGGACGTGACAGCACTGAAGACGGCCCCCACTGTTGACATAATGTCACATTTCACCTCCAGACGCTGCCCACTCAACAGCACCACACAGAGGTCCCTGAGAGCCAAATAGGATTTCCCTTTTTTGGTCTGAAAACAATAAATAGTATCAATTGTAACAATAACTACAAGACGTGGAGTCTTTGCTGTGGGCTGGCTACTGTGCTAAGCACTTTATATGCATTGTCTCACGTAATGACAAACAAACCTAGGAGTTAAGTACGTTAGGGTTCCTATTCAGCAGAGATGAGTTTCAGAGATAGTAAGGGACCTGCATAGTGGCAAGGGACAGGAAGGATAGCAAGGGACAGTGCCAGAGTTAAGTAAGAGGCAGAACTAGACTCAAATCCATACTCTGCAAAGCTCTGCAGGGCCCATGAAGGCTGGGAGGCAGGTCTAGATGCCTCTCCTTGCTGAAACCCCAGCTGCCCCCTGGGCTCCGCTTCCTGGGAGGGCTTAGGCTGCTCAGGGCCCTCATCCATGGATCAGATGTCCCAGGGACAAACGTCGAGCACCCTGAACCTGTCCCTTGAGGGACAGCCCAGTAGAGAGAATAGTGGTAGGTGCAGATCTAGTGAAGAGGCAGAGGCTAAGGGCATTGCTCTGAATCCAGACATTGGTCAGCAGAGCCACATCCAAAGATGAGTTGTAGTCTGCGTTCTCGCTTCACCCCGCTCAGATTAATTCCAGATTCATCTGCCACCACACCCCAGGCTGACTAGGGGCAGCCTCCACACTCCAGGGGCCAGTAGGGACCTGAGGGCCCTGTGGGAGAGGGTTCCCATATGATTCTGGGCAGGGCTGATCACACAGTATACTCTGAGCCCCCCGGTACAAGGGCTGAGAGAGAGGTGTGCTCAGAAGGGCCCTCTGCTGGGGTTTAATGCTCTACAAGTGCCCTCTTGGAATTCTTAATAACTGTGTCCATGAACGTGCGTTTTCTAAGTGAGGACCAATGGGACGATGGAGCTGCACATAGAGCTTCCATGTCCCCACCTGCCAGAATGGTTCTGGCGGCTAACTCTTACTGACTGGTGCTCCAGCCCACCTCAACCTGTCCCTCCCACTCCACCCTTTCTACTCTCCACCAGGGCGGCCTATCACTCCCTTCCTCGGCAGGGGGCTGGCTCAGGAATGGTCCCAGTAAAGCACACATGCACCCAAGACATCTCGGAGCAGGGCATGACAGTGACTGTCCCCACTCTGGGCTGGTCTCACCAAAGCTCATTCAGTAGCTTTTAACAGGGACAAGCCTCTCACCCACCCCCAATCCAGGTACCGAGTGGGTCTCTCCATATGGAGGTTGAACCTCTTGGGGATCCACAGTCTTCCCAAGGTTGGGACAACAGGGCTCAGGGAAGGGAGACTGACTTTTCCACCTCAGAAACTAGACAAGTGCAAATATGCTAGAATGTAAGCTCCACATAGAAAGGACTCTATTTTGTTCACATTAATGATCAGGGGTCTGGAGTAGTGCCTGGCACCCGCTAGATGCTTAAACAATATTTCCTGACTCATTAAGGTGACAAAGTTGAGCTGAGTCTGGAAAGACAAGGAAGGCTGAGCCAGAAGTGGCCCTGGGCTCCTGTTCAAGGAGAAGAGGAAGTGTTGAAGGACTTCCAGGAAGCGGGAATGTGACTTGGTGGAGAGCTCTGGCAGGAGTCTGGAGGAGACAGTGAGCATCCCCCAGGGCCCTCCCAGCCTGAGACCCCAGTCAGAGATCAGTCAGCCTCCAGGCCTGCCCAGCAGGGTGGTTCCCTCACTACCCCCCACCCCTGCCCAGTTAACCCAGCAGTTACCACAATTGAGCCAGGCAGATACAAAGTCACCGGGGCCTCTCCAGCCAGCAAGACAAACTCCGGCCTAGAGACCTGGGGAAAACACTCAGGGTCAGTCATGGTAAAGAAGAGAAGTCACATTCCAGGGGGTCTGGCCCCCCAGCTCTGGGACTGGGCTCCCCGCATGCGCTCACCTCCCTTCATCCTCTACCAGCACTCCCTTCCCCAGAACCAGCAGGACACGGGCTTCAGGGAAATGGGGCTCAACTGGGCTGAGGCTCCAGTGAGGCTGGGCATCTCAAAGCTGATGTCTTAATGGTGGGTACAGTGCTCTTGGCGATGTCATAGCTCTTAAGTTGAGTGTCCGCTTCGTTGTGTGTTTCATAATTCACATAATGTTTCATAATCTTTTGTGTGTATCAAAATTATAAAATGGGTTATATAATACAAATATATATTATATGCCAGAGATTTTTCTAAAGCAAAAATACCTTTAGATTTCGAAGGGATGAAATATATTTCTAGCTCTGTATGTTGAATCAATAATGTGCATGGGCAGCTATTTCCAATTTCACATTGTTTGTACCACACTTGTGATGGGGAAATACTTTCATACCTATCATTGTTTAGACTCAGCCATCATCCTGTGGGATGAATATTCTCAACCCATTTGGCAGGAAATCGAGGCTCCAAGAGGTTAAGAAATTCACCCAAAGCTAACACCTGAGAGTGATAGGATTGGGTGGGCCTACTAATGTGCCCCCCAAGATAGCCAACAAGACTCTTGTTTCAAAAGGTCGAAAGACCAGCCAGGGCATGACGTGTGTCCTGAGAGAATCACCAGTAGAAGCGTCCTTAGTGAGTGAACATGATGAAAAACCAAAGAAGGGGGAAAAGGCCTCCCTGACCCTGTCTACGTGCCCCATAGCTCATGAGAATGTGAGAGTGACCTATGAGGGGCAGCAGGGGCCAGTGGGGAGTATGGGAGCCCAGAGCCACAAGGGAGAGGACATCCTGAGGCTACTCTAGGCTCAACTCATCTCAAATTGGCTAAGGATCTTTAAGCAAATCTCTCGGCAGCAGAGAGGCAGACAGATGAAGGCTTTCTGGGGGTATCTGGGTCTGATGTTCCCAAAGGGAAGCAGATGCACAGGAGAACACCCAGCAAAGGCAGGCTTCTCAGTGAATAGCCCAGCAGGGGCTTGTCCCTGCTCCAGTGGACCATTATCCCTTCATGGTCACTGAGGGCTTATGTGGTTATTGAAACAATTTTCAGCTAATGGTAGTGTGAAAAGGGGTTCTTTTCTTCTGAACAGCGGAAGTGGCTCTGCTGGCTGATGCCAGGGCTGTTTCTGGCAGAAGGTGCACCCTGGCACCAGCCTTGATCTCACCCTCCAGCACAGGCTTAGCAAGCTGGACCCTCAATAGAGACGCCTGCAAGGAGACAGCGTCCCCTGGAGGCATGAGCACACTGCAGGGGCCACCAGACATCTATCCCTCCTGTCAGCCTGGACATCAAGGCCAAGGAAGGCTGGCCTGGCTACCCCACAGCCTCTATTCCCCACACTTGCCCAAACCCTATTACCCTCTGTACCAAGCCGAATGGAGAATCTCTCTTCCTCTGCCCCACCCAGACCTTCACTCCTGCATTTTGCCTGCTCAGAAGTCACCTTCCAAGTACACTGGACCCTCTCATCACATACCTTGTTTTGCCACCACCCCACATTGGTGGCTCTCAGCTTCCTGAACGGTGTGACTTGACACCGTCAACCTTCTATCCTACACAATGTCTACCACCTCAAGCCCACCCGATAAACACCTATTGCCCTGTCTTGCAAATGTCAAGTTTGTTGTAGTTTAATTCTGGAAATCTCAGCCCAGGGAGCCTGCCCATTTTCAACAACTGTGTCAGCCACACACAACTCCCCACTCAAACCTCTTTGGAGAATGTCGTTCAGTCCTCTTTTGCTCACCTTTCCTCTTCTGCGCAGAAAAGCCCTTTGAGAAGGAGCTGCCGGCAGCAAGGTTTCAGCTGCCACAGAGGGAGGAGTACTGGAGCTGAGCCGCTGTCCGTCCTGAAGCTCTTGGGGAGCTTCCATTGGAAGAGCACTGGCCCGCGGTCAAGAAGGGGAGAGATGATGCACAATGGAAAGGGCCTCCAGCAGTGAAAGCCCACGGCGCGCAGGTGTTCAACTGGACAGGCTGTGTCCACTACTTTCCCTTTGCCCCACGCCTACGGGGGGCGGGGGGCGCTACCATATGCACTTTTCCAAGGAGGCCGCTGAGGCTGCAGAGCCACAGGAATGGGGTGGGGTATGAGGTGCAAGGCCCCAGTCCATGTCTTCCCCACCCCACAACCTGGCTTCAGCTCACTGCACTCCGGACAGGCAGGTCCTATGACCCCAGCTCCTGAACACCTTGAAGCCGGTGATGGGGTTACAGGGAGTTCTGACTTTCCTGCTTAGAATTTTATATATTGTTTAAAATGTTTTGGTAAAAAAAAATACATTGTTTATGGAATCAGGGAAAAAAAGCTATTTTTATTGGGAAAATAGAGCACAGAGTTTTAAATAGCAGGAAAAATCACTGTGAGGTGAACCCTACAGCATCCAGTCAAGGCTCCAGCTGTGTATGTGACATCAAGTATCACCACAGCCCTTGGCTGAACTGTGGAAGGACAACAAATCAATATGTAAAGAAATCAATACCCAAGCTTCAGAATTCCTAATGTTCCAGATGTGGGACAATATGGTCCCATGCGGGTTTTGAGCAGATGTAAGCATCCGACCAGTGCCCTTTGCATCTCCCTCCCTCCGTCCTTTCCCCCCTCCCTCCCTCTCTCTCAACCCTGCCGTTGTCATAAGGACAATCCAGGGCTAAACTGCTGGTGAAGATCCAGGGCTCCCCCAGATAATATCCAGCCACCCCCAGAAGTGAAGCTGCCTAGCCAGGCTGCAGCTGATCACAGAGGCACAAGGGCATCCAGCAGAGTCCAGAAGAACCTCCCAGCTGAGCACAGCCTGAATTTCCCAACTCACACAATCAAGAGCTAAATAAACCATTATTTTTTTTAAAAGATTGTATTTATTTATTTGAGAGAGAGAGAGATTGAGAGCAGGAGCAGGGGTGGGTGGGGCAGAGGACGAGGGGGAAGCAGGCTCCCCGCTGAGCAGGGAGCCCAATGCGGGACTCCATCCCAGGACCCTGGGATCATGACCTGAGCCAAAGGCAGACGCCTAACAGACTGAGGCACCCAGGAGCCTCTAAACTATTATTTTTAAACATTGTGTTTTGTGGTCGTTTGTTATGCTGCCTCTTGGGGCAACAGATAATCACAACATGGGAGCATGTTGTTATTACTTCTAGAACTGAGCCTGAACTCGATTCCCAGAGGAGACAGAATGCCTGACAGCACAGCTACCGGCCGGTCCCTCATCACCTTCGCTGCACATCTGCTTAAATGTGGGTTTGTTTTTCACCTGCCGATGGAATAGGATCAGCTTTTTCTGGAGCAGCAAAAGGTTTTGCATCAGTATCAGTCAAGAAGCAAGGTACGGCAGTCCCCACACGGATGGCCCACACCTCTACACCTTGCTGCTTACCTGCTAACTGAGAGGCTGTGGGAACTGTGTACTGAGGTGCTCAGACCGGGCTCCAGGGAGCTCTGGGTCTCTGTGCTTCTCTCTGAAACTAAGCAAACAGCATGGTGGAGGACTCGGGAAGACACAAAGGGCATGACTCTCTCGAATCAAGCAGCCTGGAGTGTGGATATCATCATCGTAACTTACTGGAAGTGTGACTTTGGCAAAATTACTTACCCTCTCCGAGTCTATTTGCTCATGTGAGAAATGGAAATGACAGTTACAGAGAGTCAGGGGAGTTGGGTTTTTTTTGTTGTTTTTTTTTGTATTTTCGGTTTTTTTGAGGGGGAGAGTTAAGACCTAGTGGCAAAGAGTGCCTTGTTTTAGGGACAACAAACAATAACATTAATTCTTTTAAATCCTTTATTTAAATTCAATTTAGTTAACATATACTGTATTAAGAGTTTCAGAGATAGAGTTCAGTGATTCATCGGTTGCATGCAACAGCCAGTGCTCATTCCATCAGGTGCCCTCCTTACTGTCTGTCACCCAGTTACCCCTCAGATTCAGTTGAAGAGTAGAGAACAGTAGAAGATTTGAAGATTATTCTAAAAACCATGCCCTTAACACAGCTAGAGCAACAACAAAAACAATCTTTTAAAGATTGTTTTTCTTTTTGCTCCACCTAGACACTAATTAAAAAAAAAAATTTGCTCTTATGTTGTGTGTTGAAATTTGTTTTATCAACTTGGACAGTTCAAACTTAATTTAAAAAAATGAGTTTATGTTTGATATAAATAATATTTCCAGATGAAGCTTTCCTGAGGACACAGCCCCTTTTCTTTGGGGGCTCCCTGGAAGAGGGGAGATTGCCCGGGTGGACATCTGGCCCACTCGGGGCAGGAAACAATAGAATGGGGATGCTCAGGGTGATGTACCCACCTCTGCAGGGGTGCAGACGCTCCAGGGCCCACATTGCTGGGTTCTCACAGCTGGCCTGATGCAGCCTATTCCTGAGCAGGCAGCTTCTGTCCTGCGGCATAGAGGAGCTTCCTTCCACAACTCTCCTCTCCACCTGAAGGTCAAGTGAGTCACACATCCACGTCCCAAAGTCAAGAGGGAACATTTGTATAGACACAGACAGACTGGCTGTCAGATTAAGTCAGTTCAGAAGTGTCTGTTGTACACAGAGAGAGCCTAGCAAGGCACTCTGGCAACCAGAACAGGCTCCAGACTCCACCACCCACACGCACCCTGGAGGTAATCCGCTCCCCTCCCCCACTACCAGTGGACTCCTGCACCACTGTGCCTTTGCTCATGCACTCCCCCTACTGCCAGGGTCTCCCTGCTAAGCTCCTCTTAGCTGCCTCTAAGACCCAGAGCTATGTTCTCTCTACTTCCAGACCTCTCCCCTTCTGTCCCCAAGGCAGGAGAAGTGTCCCTTTTGTCACCTTCCCTCATCACCTTACTCACATCTCCCTCTACGATATGACATTATATCAGGTTTTCTTGTTTGTCCATCTCCCCGACCTCACTGTGTGATTTGTGCTTCATTGTAGCTCCTCTGGCTCCATGAGTAGGAGCAACATATTCAGATGCCAAGACAGAGGGATCCAAGGAAGACCAGATGGGAGAGGCCTTTTCTAAATGACCGGGGGCAGCATCCGCCCCAGCTGTCCCCTCCTCTCCGTCCACATGGCCCCTGTGTTAGTCTTGGTCTCAGTCACCAACGTTGCCCAACAGAACGGCAATGATGAGATTGTTCTGTATCTGCCCTGTCCAGTATGCTCATCACCAGCTCCATGCAGCTACTGAGCGCTTGAAATGTGGTCGGTGTGATGGAGGAATTGAATATTTTATTTTCTTTCATTTCAATGAACTATAAGTTAGCTAACTTACATGTCAACTGCTACCTGTAGCTGGTGCCCTCTGGGTTGGGAAACCCAGATCTACACTGACCTCGGAGATGGTGCCCAGAACCAAGCCGGCCAGCTGTCGGACGTGGAGACTGGCAGAGGCTGGGTATACAGCCACTTCTTCCTGATGAACCCGACACGCTTCCAGAACCGACAGCAGGGGCAGCCGCCTGCGAGGCTGGTCTTCGCACATGGTCAGCAGAATGGAGTGCAAGGGCTCACGGAGCCGCAGGGGCTGGAGGGAAGAGGGGCTGTGTGAGAAGTCCAAAGAGCTGCTGCCACTGAGCCCAGGGCTTTGTCTGGTATGCAGTGGGGACTCAGGGACACATGATCTCAACACCACTGGACAGATGCTTGCCCCTTCTGGAGAGTTTAGGGACAGACACAAGCTCTATCACTGGGACCACAAAATGCAGAGCAATTATCTCTGCACCAGTTGTGTGAAGTTGGCTACTTTCTAGTCTGGAATGTTCTTTGGTGCACAGAGAGCACAGACATGTGCTTGGAATACTTATGAAAAATAGGTGCTTGACAGAATGGATTTCCACCTATGCCAAGCACTCAGCTCAAACCAGGGATCAGCCTTCAACTCACACCCACCTGGGCAAACTGTCAAATTATTTCTCGATTACTTCTCCGATGTAATTACTTCTCGAATTACTTCCTCAATTACTTTCTGCCAAATTACTTCTCAGAGTATTTATGTGGGTCTCACCGGGCCTTTCCCCTAGAATGTGAGCTCCGGGAACATAAGGACTGTGCCTTTTTTTACTTTGGAATCTCCAGCGGTCAGCACAAGGTCAATAATCATTGGCTGAACTTTATGTCACATGGACCCATCAAGCAAAAGAAAAAACATTTTATTAAGCACTTCCCTCACGCATTTAAATGGCCACTGTTTATATGGAGAAGTCCTCAAATTCAGACTCAACATCAGGTTTTTTCTCATGCTCCCCCGTACCACGAGTCATTTTCGAGATAAAGGCTTCACTACCATTTCTGGCCATGGAAAACCGTATGAATCCCCATCCCCATGTGTGAGAGGAATACTGTGTCCCGGGCTCATGCAGCCAATCTGAGCACCTCTGATGTGCCTGGGACCCCACGGCTACTGGAATTACAAGGTGGCAGACACTCCTTGCTTCCAAGGACTTCACAGTCTGATGAGAAAGATGGTCAACTCAAGGGACAAGGACTTTGGTCTTGGGAAGCACAAGACATGGTAATAATACAGAGGAAAAGATCTAATCCAGCCTGGGGAGGGAGTGGGGAGCTGGAGGAAAGAACATGAACTAAATCTCAGAAACCAGGAGAAAAATGGGGGAGTGAACCATGATAGAGGGAGCAGTATATGCTAAGGGGGGGCGTGTCTGAGAAGGGGGCTATGGGCAGGACAGAGCCCAGGGAAACACAACAATGCAGGGCCCCTTGTTCAAAACTTTAAGAATTTCAAGACATTAAATCAGGTCATTAAATCAAGACATCAAATCAAGGTCATTAAATCAGAGCATTAAATCAAGCATGGGCCCTTGTAAGTGCAGGGCACTCTATAATTACATAGGCCACACACTCAGGAAGCTGGCCCAGATGACGGCAGAGCTCCAGAGAGGAACCAGAGCCACAGGTAAGAACCCAGTTTGGGGCTCCAGGTATGCCCTGCTGAGCAGTGGAACTTAACCCCAGGGGTAGTGGGAAGCTGAGAAAGATTTCACATGGAGAGGGACAAGAACAAAAAGCACCAGAAAACACTGGGATGTTGAATTAGAGAGGGCAAAGGAGAGAGGAAGGAAGGAAGGAAAGGAAGGGGGGGAAGCCAGACAGGGCAGGGTTCTCCAGCTTTTGTTACACTGGTTTCTAAGGAATTCTTATAGTGTCAGATGAAAATTTACACACATACACACACACACACACACTCATTCTGTGGTCAAAAAGTTTATACAATGCTGTGATAAAGTTTAAAATTTCCTTTGCTTCAGGCTTTCTCAGGGTCTTTAATAAATTACTCTGCCAAATCTTTGAGAGGAAGATATTGTAGCGAACATTCTTCCAAATTCATTGAGCACAGAACCGTTTCTCAGGGAAGCACGTCACTTCAGGAAGAGCCGTTTTCTACATCTGTATCTTCGCTATCTGTAAAACCCTCTAGTTTGCTACTTCCTCTGAGCAGGTAAGTCTTGCCAGTCCTAGACCGTGGCTGGCTGCATTGCCACGCTGAGCAGCATTCTCAGGTGCTTTCTGAACTCAGCAGGAGCACCTCTGTGATGGGTCGACAGTGCCTTCCCAGAACCTAGGACAGAGTGGTGACACACGGCCCAAGAGATGTGATCCCCGTCCTGAAGAAAACCACTAATGAAATCCAAAGACATGACCTGGTGAGACTTGGCGTCTCTTGCTTACAGACCTGATTTTGTGGGACACGAAAGCCTGCTGACCAGTAGAGGGTCATGCCCAAAGAATACACGTGCATCTGCCCAAGACAAAAAAACCCACCAGGTTAGATTGCAATCACCTCCATTATGCCATAGTCCTGCAAATAAAACACCATTCCAGTTCCACGCACGGCAAACCCTGTTGGCTGGCTAGCCCGACTACCGTCCATCTGCGACTCCCATAAACTTTCTCATCTCCCTCCTACTCTGGCAGCTTAAAGCCTCAGTGACCATTGACACCCCACTTTGGCAAAAGATGCAGGAGAAGTCTGTTACATGGCGTTTGAGAAAGCCTTTGTTTTACTGACAATAAGAACGCAGGTAGTTGGCCCCATCTTTCCTCCTTTTTGCCTTGCCCACTGATGGGATAGATGGATCCACTGCTGCCATCTTGAGACCATGAGGCAACAGGCACGAGAGCAAAAATCCAGCAGCTAAGAAGAGTGGAATGGAAAGACACAGCCCAGATCCTTGATGACGTTTACTGAGCTGCCAACCCCGAGACTGCCTGTGAAGGAAATTGTAACTGTATCTGTGGTTCCAGCCTCTGTATTTTAGGTTTTCTGGTCCCTGTAGCCAAAACCCTCTATTGGTGACACACTCGGGGGCGGCCTGATTTAAAACATCGCGTGTTGTCAGAAAGCAACATGGTGAAATGGAAGAGCATTGTCTGACTTCTCTGAGTCTCACTTTGCTCATCTTTAAAGTGAGTGTTCTGCTTGAATACTCATGAGCATTGAGTAAAAAGCACCTAGAAATGGTAATGATAATTATTATGATTATCAGATGCAGAGCATTTACATGGCAAGCTGAGCTCTAAGCCTTTTACTTATATTAACTCATTTAGTCCTCACCCCAGTCCTAGGAGGTCAGTACTTTAATTGCCTCCATTCTACAGGAGCGGCAAAGCAAAGGCAACTTAGGGAACTTTCCCAAAGAAGACCTAAAGCCTAAACTTGAGCCAGAGCCCCTGCCCGGGGCCTTGGCTATGTTGCCTCTGGATCATACAAAGTTCTCAATGTCTATTTATTATTGTTGTGGGGCTTCTGCAGTAACTGACAAGGCACATTCCCCTTAAGATCTCTCTTTGCAGGAAATGACTTTTGGAACTTCAGAAGGGAAGCGCTGAATTAACAAAACATGATGCGTAAAAAGGCATGGTCACTTGAGAAATCCACTCAGTTAAATTTGAGTGATTTTAGTTTGTTTGGGAGCTTTTTTTTTTTTTTTTTTGCATCTTTAGGTCAAGGGTATATGTCCAAGTATCACATGTGCCAACTTTCTCTCTGAAATTGTACCCCTAAGCCAGTAATGAATGTGACTAGACACCTGCAGAAAAGTTCACAAGCTGCATCCTCATCTCCGGAGAATCACCCCAAGAGCAGATGCTGGAGCAGGATCCTGAGCACTGCCAGAGGCACCATCCACACTCAGGAACTGACCTGGCTTCCAAGGGCTCTAAGTATCCTAGGGTGAGGCCCAAGGCCAAAATGGCAATAGGCTTCATCCCAAATCCCAAATTCAGCCCATTAGTAGATACTGCCTGGAGAAGGGTGGTGACAGTTTGGAAGGCAACTCCTGGCTCAATGGGAAAGAACACTGTGATCAATTGGTGATGTCTACCATGAGCACAGGATGGGGTGTGATGGCATGAATGACTTGTAGTTAGAGACCTGCCCACACCTTCTACCTGCACTGGAATTAACAGTCCAAACAGTGGAGTAAATGTGTCTGTGTGCTGGAGAAAGCTGGATGTTGGCCTAAGGAGAGGAGTCAGAGTACATCCTCCAAAGCTCAGGATGGAGCCCAGAGCTGGGGGAGGATTGTGAGCACAGCCTCTGCTAAGACCACTTTCTTGATTGCTCACCTCACCTCCTACAGCACCCAAGCCTTGTCCGATGCAGAGAGGAGCCTCTGGGGGATGGTAGAGAAGAGCAATTAATAGAACTGAGTGGAGGGAAGTAGTAAGGGAGACAGTGGCCAGGGGACCCTGTCTCCTAGCCTACTAAGCACCAGTCTGCCATTGGCTGAGGTTCACCCCCCCAGGAAGCTAAGTCCCCTGCACTTTCGGGGTGCATCAGCACATGCCCTTCTAGTGGTTGCTCAGAAAGTCAGATCTCATGGCTCCAGCTGTGGCATCTCAGCCGAGTTCAGAGTGGAGGAGGCACCACCAGATAGATCCAAACATTGGGACTGAGAGGCACCCACGTCTGTGTCTAACACGGGAGTCCGGGGATTCACCCCTGGGATTCTGTCAGTATAGGAAAGGGTGTCGGGGCCTGGAGTGCCAGGTGACTGCCTCTGGGGCGACAGAGTCAGGGCCACTGCTGCTTTCACTGCTGGGATCTGACTTGGAGACACGTGGGCCCAGGCAAACCAACCCCGGAGGACACCGAGGCCCTGTTCTCCGAGCCCAAAGGCAAAGCAGCCCCAGTTCCGGGATGCCTCCTGAGAGGGGCAGGACTTCCAGGCCGCACTCTTCTCGGGAAAGGACGGGAAGAAGAAACCGAACTGGCTGATGAAGGGCCCGCTGTGCCCTGAGTGCCGTGTGCCTGCCTTATACCGCTCTCTCCTTAGGATTTCTTCTTTTGAAAATTGAAAATAATGTTTACTAGACCTTGTGCAATTCAGAAGCAAAACACGCCTGTGGAAAAACTAAAAGCATCACTGATGTTGCCATCCAGAAATAATCACTGCAGACACCCTGGTATATATTATATATTTTAGAACTCTCTCTCATCTCTGTCTCTATCTCTGCGTGCGCGTCTGTGTGTGTTTATTCACGTAAGGTCACATTGTGCATACACATATTTAAGTTCTTTTCAAGCCATTCCATAAGGCCCCACAGCGTTACCTTAACGCTGTCTTATTTACTGGACATTTAGTTTATTTCCAATTTATCACTAACGTCAACAATACAACAGTAAACATTGCTGCAGCTAACTCAATCCTTACTCATGCCTTAGGATAAATTCCTAGTTGAGGACTTCTTAGGGTTTTGCTACACGCTGCCAAGGGTTCCAATGTCCCAGACCGTTTACCCACGACTTTTCTAACACTTCTTTTTGAATATTTATAATAAGCTGATGGATTATGGCAAATGAACCCCATTTTACAGATGTAGAAATTAGAGCTCAGAGAAGTTGACCTGTCATCATCTAAGAGCTAAGAGATTGCAGGCAAAAAAAAAAAGTCTGGGAATAAAATTCTTTAAACCCATTCTGCCTCAGTGTTCCTTGGGGCTAAGCTGGGAGCTGGGGATGCCTTTCCCCAGGACAGGCCCAGAGGTGCTGCAGAGATGCCACACACCTTACCTGAGATGCATCAGGCTGCTCATCATCACTCTGTCCCTGTAGCAGTTCAGGGGCCTTGAAAGGAGCAGCCTCTATGTGAGAAATATGGTCCTGGAAAGAAAGACTTCCGGCTGCAGACAGGAGGGCTGACCAGGGACAGACCACATAGTCCGAGGAATCTGAAACCAAGGCCGTGATGAGAGTATAGAGATGGGACCACTGTCCGGAGGGCCAAGTGTGAGACTGTGACAAGCAGGTGCCCCTGGGATGGACTAAGAGCAAGACCCAGGTAAACATAAAGCGAAATAAACTCAAACCTGATAACATGCGTGCACAGGAGCACGTGTTACCAGGGGTGGCTGCAGTGGTGGCCAGGAAAACTAGCACCTGCCTCCCAATCCCTCAGCGCCTCAAGAGTCTCAAGGTAAGAGGTAAAAAGAAGTCAGGTCCAGTTGGAAATAAGCCCAAGCCTGAGGTCTTTGGAGCCAAGCCTGGGACCAAGACAGCTGGTCTTCTGGGTGTACTGTACCTAGCTGTTCATCAGTCTCCCCCGGGACAGGGAACAGGGAGTGAAGAATCACAGGGAAGATGATACTGAAGGTGCAGGTGCACAGCCTCCTTTATCTCCCCACACTGGGACCTGCTACTCAAGTGATCGCACCCGCGGGGAGCCTGAGGAGAGGAGTCAGAGTACAGGTGTGTGACTTCAGAGCTGATATCTGAGTGTGGGTAGTCAGTGTTTGTTCCAGTTACCAGCGAGATGTCTCGCAGCTTCAAATTCATCTCTCAATACCTTCCCTTGAGCATCTGTCCTTTACAGCGGGTGCGACCTGCAGCTTTCTCAGTAGAGGGCGCTGGAGAGACACTGCGGGAGGCGGGGATCCCTCCTGCTCTTCCCGCGTCGCGGAGCGCGCGCGAGGACGCCCCGTAACGCTCAGCTCTGAGACACCACGTGCAGGACCCGCGGTCCGGGGCCACCTCCTGGCCCGGCCTGGCCAAGTGATCCCTCCGTCTGCACAGATCCCGCGGGCTTCAGGCCGCCTGCCCGCACTGGCTCCCGAAGCTGTGGCTCCCCAGTGCCCGCCGCCACCCAGAGGGTCACTGACCCTCGCCCCTCTTGGCGATTCCTGTGCCTCGTTCGTCCCCTGACTGCTGGCCCCTTCTAGCCCCGCAGAGCCGCGGAGTTCGCCGTCATCGTGGGCTCCAAGCACAGCCACTCCAGCAGATCTGAACCCCAAGCTGGACAAGGGGCTTCCCTTCAAAGTTTGTGCCTCACTGGTACCGCCCTCAGCCCTGGGGACCATGTAGAATTTTCTTGTATCTTACAATTAGCCTTCGGTGGGAATTTAATAATTGTTTGTATTAACCTCCCTCCCCCTCTTTGGACCACCTAGTGTGTGGGTTCTATCCCCTGATGGGACACAAGGTGATGCACCACCAGGCAGGGGACAGTTTGGGGGTGTCAGCTCCCCCGGTAGCTGGCCCCTGCCTCCTGTGTCCTTAGGCTCCGACTGTCCAGGTGTGGGGAGAGGCCCAGAGAGCTGCAGCCACCGTCTCCCCTAGAAGCAAGGCCTTTCTTTCAACTCCTATGCATGCTGGTCCAAGAGCCAGGCCTGCCTTCCTGGTGCAGCTCCAAAGGTAGGGGTCATTTGCCCTCCTGGTAACTCATCTGAGAAGGAGCAGCCAGAAATGTGCTCGGGAAGCTTTGCACTCCTCTCCCTGTGATTCAGCTGCCCTGAACACTTTCTCTTACCTTCACGGACGTCTTCCAGGAGCCGCTCAGCAGCTAAGGACAAGAGGGACCAGATTTCCTCCTCCGACAGAGCTTCGCCCCTGACCAGCAGGGCACTGGCCAGGGTCACAGAGACCGGGCTCATGCCTGCAAAGACACACATGTGGCAGAGTCTCTGCGATGTCCCCAGCACGTCAGGGCCCGCACTTACCACTCCAGCCCGGGCGCAGTCCAGGCCTCTGGGTAGCATGAGGCACCTTGTTTGCATCTCCTGCGTCTCTGGGGCTGGGCACACAGGAGAAGCTATGGAAATGCTTATGGGGGTGCTGGCTAGGCTGGCCGGCTGATTCAGTGAATGAGCAAATAAACTCCCAGATGAAGGCTTAAGGGAATAAATGAATGAACAAATGAACCCCGAGAATGGCACCTCCCTCTGAGCGGGGCCTGTGCTGTTAAAGAGAGCCAGCTAGCCATGCCCAGGTAGCATCCTTTGCCTGCGCTCCCCTCGGTCTGGGAAAGTAGGTTAACAACATTTTTTTTTTTAATCTCCAATGCATGATTCGTGTCTTTTCCTCTGCCATATGCAGAGTTGGATTTGGTGCCGACAGCAGCCCTGTCTGTAATGATCCCCAATACCTGCATGAAGAGTGAAAATCACTGGACGGACTAGCGAGCCCTGTGTTTTGAAAAGGTGCAGACTCACAAGAAAGCACGGGACTGCTTTGCTGGAGGAGGGATAAAGAAGGCTGGTCCTCTCCTTCCTCTCTTCTTAGAAGGGCTCCTTTAAACCAAAGCTGACATTTACATGTTTGTCCGTACCCCGCCCCCCCCCCCCCCCGACAAAGCTGCCACCCACTAATCTCCAGTCCCAGGTGGGGTGGCAGCAGGAAGAGGCCAGGCAGGCTTTTCCTAATCCACTGACGTCACTGATCTTTTCTACAGCCTCAGGGAGGGCTGTGTGGGGAGCAGGGTGGAGAGCACATTATGGCACCCTCATCCCTCCATCCAACATGGCTAATCCAAGCTCTCCACTAGCCAGCAGCTCAGTTCCCTGTGTACACCTGGAAGTCCCGCTTGGATTCCCAGGAGAAAAAGCCTTGCTCTTCCTTCTCTCCCCTGGGGGCCAGAAGTGTGCTGTAGCCAGACCTGGGAGCTTTATGTGGGAGAGTTTGTTTGCAACAAGGAGTCTGCCGAGAAAGTCTGTGGTTCCCACTGACAGGCAGGAAGGCAGTCCAAGGTCACCCAGGTAAAAAGTAATAGATTCCAAGCTAAAGGGCAGGCCCTCTCTTGTCTTTCTTTTTTCTTCCTCCTATTTCTTTACCTAAACTTTGCTTGAGACATAAGGACTAAACACTCCCATTCCACTATTTGTTTCTAGCTCTCTGAAGCCACAATGAAAGGCTACTTATTGGAGAAAAAACAGAGAAGATTATGATTTTCAAATAGGAAATCTCTGAATCTCAAAATATCTCATGAAATACTGAATGTGTTTTCTTTTTTTTTTTCCCAATCATTTCATGACTAGGAAAAAATTGCATTAAAAGTATTTTAGGCTGGTGTGGTATGGCGAGCAAAGACCATCATTTCAATATAGTAACTCAGTAAAATGGTACTGGACCCATCATGAAAAAAAAACTCAAATCTTTTATAAAAATTAACCCAAAATGAATCATAGATCTAATATAGAACATAAAACTGTAAGTTTTTTAGAAAATAACACATCAGAGGAAATATTCAGGATCTAGAACTAGGCAAAGAGTTCTTAGATTCGCCATCAACATCATAGCTTAGCCTCACCTACCTTACATGTGCTCAGAACACTTAGATTATCCAATAGTTGGACAAAATCATCTAACACAAAGCCTACTTTATAATAAAGCGTTGTCTAGCTCATGTAATTTATTGAATAGTGTACTGAAAGCAATAAACAGAATGGTTGTAAATGTATCAGTTGTTTACCCTCATGACCCTGTGCCTGACTGGGAGCTGAGGCTCACTTCCACTGCCCTTGTCATGAGAGAGGAATGTAGTGCATAGCACTAGCTCAGAAAAAGATCAGAATTCAAAGTTTGAAGCATGGTTTCTACTGAATATGTGTGGCTTTTGCCCCATCGTAAAGTCAAAAAACTGTAACTCAAACCATTATAAGTCAGGGATCATCTCTATATAAAGAACTCCCACAATTCAATGTAAAAATACAACCCAATTTTAAAACGGCTGAAGATGTTGACTATACCACAATAGTAAATAAGTTAAAAGTACAATAAAAAAAAACAATTACAATAGGCAAAACTGAGAGTGTTATAGGCAATCTGGAAAGTATGGTCACCCAATTTTTTTTAAATGGGCAAAGACTACGAATAGACATTTTTCCAATGAATAACCAATAAGCACATGAAAAGATGCTCAACATAGTCATTAAGTAAATGCAAATCAAGAGCACAATGTGATAAAATTTCAGATCTATAAGGATGGCTATAACCAAAGAGATGAGCAATAGTAAGTGTTGACAAAAATGTGGAGAAGTTGGAACAGTCATATATTGCTGGTGGGAATAGTAAATAATGTAGCCACTCTGGAAAACAGTTCAGCAATTCTTCAAAGAGTTAATCATAGTTACCACAGGACTCAGCGATTCCACTCCTAGGTATATACCCAAGACGAATGAAAACATGTCACACCAAAACTTGTGCACGAATATTCATAGCTGCATCTTTGGTAATATCCAAAAAGTGGAAACAACCCAAACGTTTAACTAATGAATGAACATACAAAATGGTATATGCATACGATGGAATACTATTTCGCCATAAAAAGGAACAAAGTACTGCTACATGCTACAAGATGGGTGAATCGTTTTTCTTAAACTCCTGTATTAAGGTGTAATTGACATGCAAAAAGCTGTACATATTTAATGTATATAGCTTGATGATCTTGGAGATAAGTATATATCCATGGAACTGTCACTAGAATCTATGCCGTACAAGATTGATGAATCTTGAAAGCAATACACTAAGGAAGCCAGTCACTAAAGGTCACATATCATATGATTTCTTTCATATGAAATGCCCAGAATGGACATAGAAAGAGAAAAGAGGAAGGAGATTAGTGGTTGGCAGGAGTTTGGGGAGGAGGAAGTGGGGAGTAACTGCAAATGGGTATAGATTTCTTAAGGACACAATGACAATATTCTGGAATTCGTTGTTTGTGTTACACGATTTTGTGAATATACCAAAAACTTCTGAATTGTGCACATTAAAAAGGTGAATTTTATGGTACGTGAATTGTAGCTCAATAACTTTTTAAGAGAAAAAAAAGGGATGGAGAGGAACCTACAATTAAAAGATATATCAAATTGATTTAAATGAGTAAAACTAAACATAGGCTCTAGGAATGCATGTGGGAGCGATAAAACTATAAAGAAACTAAAGGACGTGGTGACTGTAGAAGCCTGGATAATGGTTACCTTTGCGGGAGTAAAGGGACTATGACCGAGCTAGAGAATATTGAGGGGTTTCTGGATTGGGTGGCAAAGTTCTACTTCTTAGCCTCAGTGATGGTTACAACGGTGTTCGCCTTAGAATGACCCATTAAGCTACACATTTGTTGTAATGGTTCTCTGTGTCTGTTCTTCTACAATAAAAGTTTAAAACAATTTCAAACACTGCCCTGCTGAAAATAGTTTTAGGCAAACCCCCCAAAAAGCACTCCCTTTCCACCTCCTTTCTTGAAATATAAAGCCAACAACGTTCATCAGTTATGTTAAACTTGTCTGCAGAGAATTATCCTGAAATCCTGACAACAAATGCTAAACAGCTAAAAGGCCCAATCATTCTTTCCATTAAAGGGAACAACCAACATCGAGAAGAGCACATAACTGATCACGTTGGCCCGTCAAACACCCCTCTCTGTTGTTAGAGATAAGAGTTCCTTGAGGCTTGAAGTTGCTATTCTCATTGCTGGAAGTGTCAGGGATTACAGTTTCCATATCAAGGGCAACTCCAAACACAGGAGGTAATGCTGGCAAACTAGTCATCATCCTCTCCATTAAAACAAAACAAAACAAAAGACAATTGTCCCCCTTGTTGCAGTGCTCTCCCGAGATCCCACTGCAGAAGGAAATGTCTGCATTCCACTTCTCTCTACCAACTCTATCTGACCCCAGGGTCACAGGTGAACTTTACATTCTGTCCACAGGGGTAAGGGGATGCCTGGAGGGAGTGCAAACACTTGGGAAGCACTGGCGGCTCTGGATTTCCGTGGCAGCCCTGACCACACTTCCCCACTCTGATAGGGAGCAACCTGTTTGGGGACACTTCAGGGACTCCATTCCAGTCTGCCAGCCCTCAGGGAGCAACCCAAATTTATATTAACACTGTAATCTCTGTAATGTTGCAAATTTCATTTCAGAGCCAGCTGATACTGACAACACGAGGAGACAGTCCATGGTGCTCACTGTACACCAGGCACTGTTTCCAGGGCTTGGTGCTCCTCAGTCCCGGCCTCTGCGACAGCCGCCATCAGCTTTGTCCCCACATGCTGGGGTGCCTCTGGGCTTGCCTCCAAGTGCTTCTACACACTCTGCTGCACCATGAACTAAAGGGGGACCACTAACTGTCTAAAGGACGGAGAGATCCCACTGCACAGATAAACGCTGTCTCCCTGCCAGTGAGGAAGCTCAGGGAAAGTGTCCAGCCCACGGGCGTGCTTTTGGGAGGCAGCTCTGTGGTCACACCCTCATGTCTCATTCCCTTCCTAGGCTCCCCTCCATGGGCCAAGTCCTCCGTATTGACAAGATTCTCTGAAGGCTCCTGCGGTCATCTGCTAACCCCGAAGTCTTCTCCATTTGAAGCCTCATTGCCATTCAGGAGGCTCCTCGGGCTCCCTTCCGTACGTTCCCATGCTATGGTGCATCCTGTCTGCGGGGACTCTCCTCCAGTGGCCTCCGGCTTCCAGCAGCCCGTCCTGTCTGCTCTGGCTCAGCCCAGAAGCTCCGCCCATGCACTTGACATCCTTGCCTCAGCCATCCCTTTATCTAACAAATACTTGCCAAGGATTACGTTAGTATATTTTAAGCTACAAACAGAAAAGTAAAAATATAACAGCCACCCTTGCAGGTCTTACATTCTAGTGGGGATAGGCAGAGGGGGACAGATGCTGAATGGGGAAACAGATAAACAAAGTATGTCCACAGAGAGATAGACTATGAAGAACAAGTAGACAAGGGGATGGGGACACACTTGAGCTGCC